ACTGCTCCCCAAGGGGATGGGTTAAATGCAGAGGTACATTTCTCCAATGTGAGATCAATAAAATTAAATTAGTTTTAATCAATTATTAGTTAGTAACAGTTATTCGTTTTTTTTTTTTTACAGGTTGTGTATCATTTTAGGGCTTTTTTTTTTTTGCCGTCCAGTGTCTGCTGAACTATTAATGCCACTTGAACTTTTATGCCTTTTGTCCCTTTGCATCCCTTGGTTTTATTGTGATTTTTGAGGATCACAAAGTATTATATATTTTTCAATTGGAAAAATAATGATTCATGTTTTTTTTTGTCTTTTTTTAAATGATTTAAGATTTGAACAGTAAAAAAACTCGAAGTAAAAATCCAGTGTGACATAATTCCTTCAGAATTCCCCTTAAAAGTACATAGAGTTGCCTGTGTGTGATCTCTTCTGTATATATACAGACGTTTTTGAAGGCTTCAGAAGTTTGGTACAGACTTTTGGTGATCCAATAGCATCATGAAGATGAAGGAACATAGGTGACAGGGATCAAGTGGTGGAGATAGGAGCCCCTTCCCAGGCTTGACTCTCTTACACCCATTAATTACTAATCACTATCTCAGCTAACTTGCACAAAGACAAGTCGGCCTCTCAGATCAATTGACCTACTGATGATGTACGGTTTGTGAAACCAGCCAGGTACAGCCATTTTTAACATTTTTCTGAAACTTTCTATCTAAATTTGAAGCATTTGCTGTAGCAGATTTTATATGTAATGTTGACAGAACATTATACCTTTTGTTGTATTGTACTACAAGTTTCTTTTCTGGTGGGAAATTGCTGTGTGCTCTTTGCAGGTTTACAGATTGTAAAGAAGGCTTTAAAATACAGAGGTAGGTGAAAAGGCAGTTTCCCAGGCCGAGAACATTTCATAGGGCACAACCCATCCATTTTCCATGGTAGAATAGTCGGTTATTTCAAGTCTGGTCTTTATGGAAGAGGGGGAAAAAGAAGGCATTGTTAAAAGAAGGACTCCCTTTGGGGTGTGTCATAAGACTTCTGATAATGTTGAATCCAATCCCTTTTTAAAAATTATTTGGTGGCATCATTATGCTTCAGGGAATCTCTTTTTTAGGAGGGACAGGGAAACTGTTTTTAGGTAGATTGGGAAGAATATAGATATACATGTGGAGCCTAGGCAGACGTTAAACTGAATAAACTGATTACTTACTCTAAAAAAGTTTAAAAACAATCCACTGGACTTTGTTTCCAAGTTTGAAGACGTATCGCTTCCCATCCAGGAAGCTTTTTCAGCTCAAAATGTCAGAAATAGTGTTGGACTTGAGGTTTTATACGATAGCAAAACCTTGTTTTTGTTTTGAAATCATGCAAATTGAAACGGAAAAACAACTCCACCACTTTGGAATGGGGATTGTTTGGCTTCTTTTGTTAGCCTGCAATGCCCCATACCCACCTAAGTCTCTGAACAGGGTTTCGTTAACGGGAATTGTTGGCCTGGCTAAATAGGCGAGGTCTTCTGCTCTCCTGTACAGGGGTTGGGGTTGTGATGATAGCCGGATGGGATCAACTCAATTGCTGCATTGTATGTTTTTGAAAGCTGAAATCTGAGTCCACCCCCTCTGTATAAGGTTGTTTTTTCTTTCCGAACATAGATTGCTTCCTTTATGCCCCTCTCAAACCATCTATTTTCTTTGTCCAAAATGTCAACATTCTGGTTCTCAAAAGAATGTCCTTTGTCCATAAAGTGTAGATGTACCACAGAGTCTGGTCCCGAGGAGTTCGCTCTTCTGTGTTGGCCCATGTGTCTGTGGAGAGGTAGTTTGGTTTCTCCAACATAAAGATCAGAGCATTTCTTCCTGCATTGAACTGCATACACCACTCTGCTCATATTTGGTCCGGGGGTTTTATCCTTAGGATGATTGATTACTTACCCACATCTACCTCTGACACAAGCTAATCAGTTTAGAATCACACCTCTACGAAAGCCAAATCAGCATCCAGAGTTCATCTTAAAAGGTCTCCAATCCACAAACCTCTGCTACCAAAAGTGCAGGCAGTGGTTGCACTATGTCTGACTTAGATTCAGGTGACCTCGATTTAACCCACCTCCAGCCCCTCCTCCACCATCGAAACTAAAGCTTCATCAGAGTGTCCTTCCTCCCGGACACTTACCTTTCCTGTCTCATCTCAACCGGTATGGCAGAAGACCTCTATGTTTAGCCTGGTTTTGTCAGACGTTTTTTCCCAATGGGGAGTTTTTCTCTCCACTGTCACGTCATGCTTGCTCATTATGGACAGGTTCTTGCAACTTGTGTTATCCAAGCTGGACTTCCATCTTCCAGGTCCCTGAGTGAAGCAGTAGTATCAGCTCATGCAGTCCACTGGATCTCTCCATACAGCTCAGGCACACTGTCTTGCCAGCCAGCAGTCTATGGACTTACTTCATCCATCTCCACTCCACCATCAGTTTCAGGCCTGGGGGGAAACATCCCTGTTCTTTACTCCTGTTCATGCATATCAAACAAAATTCAGCACTAATGTTTTCAGCCGAGATCTGAGAGCCTAAGACTAAAGTAATTGTATCTATAAAATTCTTCTGTCTTTTTCTTTCAGTGTGAGTTTTTCAGATTGAAATAGGGCAATCCAGAAAGAAAGACTTAAGACTTACATTTTCAGCTTAGAGTTTCAGGCAAGACAAGACAATATATATTTATTGACTCCCCCCATTCAGTGTGACTGCGTGATATTTTCAAAGAAAAGTGAGAAAGAATGTCAGTCTCTAGATGTGTTTGTGGTTAAATAAAACAAAACATTCAAATAATTGGGATTTGTTTCCTTCAGTTTCACAAATATTGGGTTACGGTGAATGAAAAGTGATTTATGAGGACAAAATAAAAAAAAAATAGTGTAAAATATAAAATGTGCCTATGTGTGTTTTGTGGTTATTAAACATGCACAGGTAAACTATTTACTTGTAGGGTCACAGTAAACAGAGACACAAACTCACAAATTCCTCCTCATGACTTTAAAATATCATGCAGAGAAGAATGCAAGCTTTCATAGAGATTAACTTCTTGTCAGGTATTTTCTATACTTAAAATACTTAAAATGAAGCAAGAAGATGCCCAGTTGGTCTAGACACAATCTGTCCCGTAGACTGGAACTCCCTTGAAGCCTTTGAACGTTATTTTGCACTGAACACACTTTTTTCCCTCCTTATGCACCCTGTACACTTTAGACACATCCACAAAAGCAAATATATACAGCACATGTTTCACAGAGGTGTGTAGATGGAAAAGGAAAATGGAGGCAGAGCAGGATAAAAGGGGATGGAGATTGCAATGAAAATACAATCATTTGCAGCTGGACAGATATAATTCTTCAGTGGAGGCAATGTAATACGCAGCTCAAAGAAAGCCCTCAGCTCATCCTCATGGATTTGATTGACCACAGTCGCTTGTCAATGGATGCAATTGAAATACTGTGAGTGAATTACAACAACAGTAACCTGGATGTCCTCACATTAAAGCCCTCCATCCCTAAAGATTAAAGAATCAGAAAACCTATAAGGGAGACATATTGTAGATGCAATTAAACAGGACAAGGCAGCAGCAAGTCATTCTGTAAGAATGGGAGCTAACCAAACAGGCAATAATTTGAGACTGCTGAGTGATAACCATTTTAGGATAGATATCAGAGAGACTTATAGACGGCTAACTTTTAACCTTTCCAAATATTGTCACATTACACCTGCAGTATGTATTATAGGGATTCATTGTTATAGACCAGCATACGGTTGTACATTATTGGGATTTGGAAAGGAACTTATATGTTGATTTTAATAGATTTTACAAATAAAACCGTGAGCAGTGTGGCCCCACTCCAACCATCCCAATCCCTCCTGGCACCAGTTTCTATTAAAACTGCAGCTGGAAATCTTTTGGAGCAGGCTTTGCACACAGAGTGCAAAATTTGCAATTTTGCAAAAGAGCATAAGGGCATCTGTGGACAGCGTTTTTTTTAGTCTTTTCAAAGAGTTTTTTAAGATTTGAACACTGACTAGGCCACATCAACAGATGCCATGATCTAAACTAAAGTATTTTATTGTACAGTACATCTGCCTGACTGTTTAGAGCTATTGTCTCGTTGGAAGGTGAGTCTCCACCCCAGTTTCCAGTCTTGCGTAGCCTCACCAGAGGAATTTCCTGCTCAATTAAATGTTCCAAGCTTGTCCCATAACCTAACCCTGATTAAAGCGTCTTTATAATTCCGTGCTTTCCTTCTTGGTCGCTTGGGGCTATTTGTTTACTAAAGTTCTCTGGAGAAAGTTTAAGGGGTGTGAGTGCTTTTCCAACTAACTGTGCAAAAGGAAGCCAATAACTAATATGTTCTCCTTTTTTATTTTGCTGGTGTAAAATTTGCAAGATGACATTAGTTAGTCTTGAAGTGCATGTATAACCATGCAGGATTGCAGCAGAATCTTTCTTCACGAAAATCATATTTAAACATAAAAAAATGAGTCTAGCATGAAAACAAAGTGTAGCTGGTGTTAGTCAGCAAATATATCTCCTCAGCAAAAATATGAAAAAAACTAGTACAATGCAGGAGCTTTAAATCTCTCTCAACGTACTGAGGTGTGATTGACCCTGGCCACATAGGCTTCACAATCTGTGAGACCGTACATATGTTTAGCAGAGCAATTTATGATAGTCTGGTTACATAAGTTGGCAACGCTTAGCACCAGGATGATTTTTGGAAAGGCTTTTAGTTTGAGTCTAAATAAAGTTCATGGTGCCTTGTGTTGTTGGGATATATTTACAGGCGTGATATAAAAAGATAGCAGCAATTTGTTTGGAATATTATCAAATGTGTTGGCAAAGTCATAATGTGTCAAATTAACATATAGGAAAATTTAGAATATTCTGCTGAATGTAGTTTTTGATTTAGCACTCAGAACTGTTTACTGGCATTAAACAGCTAGTGTTGTGTTTCTTCTCGCTCTCCAGGTGGGATATGCAGGAGGATGCAGAGCTGGAAGATGCAGAGAGAGAAATGGTGGAAGAACTTCAGAAATCCTTTTTTGTTTGCTGCTGCAGCAAGGGACCGAAAAATGCCTCTGGAACTGATGATACACCAACAAATCCGACCCACGGGGAAGCACAGTCATGCAATAAAAGTACTGTCCAATAACATTTCACACCGTTGGAGTTTATATTATGTTGCATTTTTTTTACATGCTCTTGGAATTCTCGAGTTGGTTGTTTATGCATCTGGGCACGCTTTCATATGATCACACATCTGTGGGAATATTTTGGTCTGTGTTTGTACTCTATATTGTGAATTTGCACGAATATGCACAAAGCATGAGGAAAAAAAGAACAGAACTAAAAAATAAAAAAAAATACGCAAGAGCTGGTGCCTTCCTATGTCTTCACACACCTGAGACAAATCTTCTGTGCCGTTCGACGCTGCATAAGATGCATTTTCCTCTTTTTGGAACACATCTGCAGAAACCAGTTCCGAGAGAAAAAAGAGTCGCGATTTGTTTGCCAGGGACAAGATAAGACTGTGTGATCACTGCAGGTAGCTGATGTGTTTTAAGACAGTGTGGGTGGAGAGAGTGGTGTCAGCAAGCTCTTTCTGCTCCCTTTAAGAATACATCAAAGAATATAGTTTGGAAGCAAAATATTGTCTGTTTTGAGTTTTTGATGTGTTCCAGAAATATGCTGCACCATACATATCAGTCAGTATTTAGCGCAAGCAGGAAAGTATTCATCTGCAATATGATTACTAAGTATATTTTTCTAAATTTGTGTATGCATGTATATATATATATATAATACTACCTTACTTGAAATCAATGCTTATTTTAGATTATTATTTATTATCTTGGTCATGGATTGTTTAAACTGCCAACCTGTCCTGGGTGACACTGCCTTTCGCCCACTGGCTGCCGGAAAAAGGCACCCTGAAGGATGAGTGCTAGAAAAGCTGGACTGGTCGGCAGTTTACAACATTGTGCACACACATTTACACCCACGGAAAATGTGGTTTTTGGACTGTGGGAGGACGCCAGAGTACCTGGAGAGAACCCACACATGCACAGGGATACCGTGCAAACTCCTTGCAGAAAGACCCCAGGCCGGGAATTGAACCCAGAACAGTCTTGCTGCAAGGCAACAGTGCTACAACTATGCTGCAATTAAAAAAGTTGTTTGCAAAGAAAACTTAATGCAGTGGTTGCAAGATCATAATGAACTGTGAGGGAAAACTAAGAACAATGAAATCTTCTTTTGAATCTTATGAAGTTAAAATCGTAAAATGCTTTTGTGTCATTAGAAATCCACAATATTTAATGTAACTACCTGTTTTGTGGTTGGACACACAAAAAGAAGAAAAAAAAAGTCCAACTCAACTGGTACAGTAAGTGGTTTCTGCATGAAAGCATGGCACCTACCTCTAATGAGTACCTGTGCACATTTCTTTTGTTTGTTTTTGTATCGACAAAGAGGACAGCAGCCTCTAACACTAACTGTTTCATAAGAATACACGAAACAACATGAAACAGCTGTCAGCTGGTTATTATATGGTTACTTTACTCTGTTCTGTGTTATGCAACCACCCCTAGATCTCATGATAGAGAATATGTATGTATTTTTGTATGTATGTTTTGGGAATAAAATGTTACACTGTGAGGATTTTTCATGGTACAACCATAAACATAAGTGTATTGTGATTATTGAATACATTAGCAAAATGTGATGAAGGCAAAAGGTGTTTTTGGTGCTAATAATATAAAGATCAGCAAGATTACTACTTTGAAAAACAACTTTATCATGTTTAATTTAAACTCGGTATAAATATAGTTGTTCTGTGAAGGCCTTGAGAGGTACAGTATGTCACAGGACCTTAGACAACAAAAATAATTAAGGCACAAAACAAGACAGGCCAGGGATAATTTTGATGGGATATTTAAAGCCTGGCTGGCTTACAAAACAATATCGGACTTGTTTTATAAGAATATTTTGTTATTTTAGAAGCACTGTTCCACACATGAAGAGGTGTGACAATGCGAATATAGTAAGACATTGGTATGTTCCTCAGCTAACAGGCTGGGTTAGGAATAGCTGCTGTCAATAGGCCCCTAATGACCTTGGAGGAGCTGGAGAGGTCCACAGCTCAGGTGAGTCAATCCATTGACTGAAATATATGTATACAATGAAAAGATGTGTCTGCTGAAAGAATACTGTAAAATATCCTATCTTAAGTTTGGAACAAGCTATGAATTACTCATAAGAAACATGCAAGAGAGGGCCTTGGTAAGAGAAGAGTACAAAAATTTTGTATTTCATTGAGTTCTGCAGTAGACTGTAATTGCCCAAATTATTTAATTCAGAAATCATCTTAAATATAAGGAGCGGTGTCACATTACTGACACTGCAATTAGAAAGCAGCATTTTAGATTAAAGCACTTTCATGTCTTAAAATGGTGCAGTCTGAGCCAAAACCAGACCAAAGTCCAAAAGAGGACTTTTGGCAAGGCTTGAAAATTATTATGAAAGGGATGTTTTCCATTCAATCTGACAGAGGCTGAATATAATTTCTTGATGTGTGAATTGTTTAGAGATAGACCGCAAATCATTTGTAGTTGTGAATATAATGAAAGGTGGTCCTATTTAAAACACTGACTTAGGGAAGCTGAATACAATATGAATATGCATGCATGTATAGATTTAATCCCACTTCATAATTTAAGCTGATAAACATTATTCAAGTTTCTGATCATAAGGCGACAGAATGTGAACATTTTCAGAGACAATACCTCAGTTTTATGAATGCTTTATGATAAAAATACTTTGGTTTGTTGTGTGCAGCTCTAGCAAAATAAAAAAAATAGACAAAGGTCATCTTTAAAATGCTTACATTTTGTTATTTCAGATTCACTTTGTTTTAATCTTAGTAAAATTGAATGCAAGCAAAGCAATCGATTGACAACTGCCAGAAATAACAGATAATAAAGCAAGGGTCGTCTTCTTTCTGATCCTTGCTTCATTTTAATTAGTTAGGATATCATTTGACAGAATATTTCACCCTGAAAAAAAATAATCCTGGATGAAAATTTTAATAAAAGTTTGCTTCTATATGTTTTTAAATAAAAAAAAAAAATCCAACTTGCATTCTGTTCACAAGATATTTTATAAATGCATATTTCAATCATACATTTTCACTGCTCTAAGGTCAGACAAAAGGGCTCCGAAACAACAGTAAAAAAAAAAAAAAAAAAAATGTAGAAACGCTGAAGTCAATTAACTAAATTTCTTTCCACCTTGATATCTAGTCAGCACGTTACGACAGTTGCCGCCGCTCTGCTACTGTGCCTTTAAATATCCATTCCAGTTCGTTGCCCCGGTAACCCGGAAGCTTCATGCGCTCCGTGCTGCTGAGCCGAGAGTCCTTCCTGTTTTAGAATTTTTTTTTAAGGAAGCAGCAACAACAGGAGAGTCGGTGAATAAATATGGTGCGTGAGTTCAACATAAAGTATGCATGCATCCGCAGTAAAAAAGCCCGGTGGTCTTAAAAACCTCCCTGTTCTGTTTGCTTTTTGGTGAATGTGTGAATAAACTGACCTGTTAGCAGTTGTTCCATGAAGAGCAGCTGCTTCTTTTCTTTTAAGCCTGCGAAACATCAACAGCTGTTTATCTAGCGTGGAGAAAAAAATCCAGACTCTTCTTTAAATGGGTTATATTAAATCTTTTTCTGTAAAAATAAGAAATATACCGCGAGGTTTGCATGATTAAGTAGATAGCTGCACGTGTGCACACTAGTAGTAAACAACAGACATGTTTTCTGTTTATGTTTAGGTTAATTAAGTAAAGTACACCACAGCAAGCACTCACTAATCTACTATTATCTGAAAGAATATAAATGTGTCTTGTAGCAGCAGCTATGAGAACATTAATGTTTATGTTTATTTAATTCCTCCAGGTTTGATCTGAGGGATCTGTGCAAGGAAAGGACCTATGCGCTCTTTTTCTGCCATATCAGGGTTGTGCATACTGTGGATCACCATGGCGCAGATCGCTGGCCAGGAGGACAGGGAGAAAACCACCGCGCTCAAAGGTAAATAAACAAACAATGCTGAGGGGTGGGGTAGGAGTGCAGAGTTTAGCTGCTCCTTTTGGAAAAACAGCCCAACCCAACCCTGGCAAAGGTATGCATACTCCTTGAAGGTCAGTTTAAAAAGGGTTGGACATTTCTACCTCTTTACTAAAACTCCTGAATCAAAACTTTGACATAGAAATAATAAAAAAATGTGTGGCAAAGGGCAACAGATACATTGAAAGGATCTGTTTATAGTAAACTGAAATGCTTGTGTCAGAGAAAAATAAATATGCGATGAAAACTGAAGGATTTCTGAGACTGGGAAGAATATCTGCTATGGCTGTGAACATGGTGTCAAAAGTACTTGTTGGTTACTTAAGTAGAAGTACAGATACTGCAGTTTAAAAACACTGGTAAAAGTAACAAATTGACATTTTTACTTAAGTAAAAGTGAAGAAAGTATGTGCTCCAAAAACTACTTAAAGTATAAAAGTATAAAGTAACCTTAAAAAAGAAAAAAAAAAACAGCCAGATGCAACTATATGAATTGAAAGCTCAATTTTACGACTATATTAAAAAAAATCTTTGAGATAGGGCCAATGATGAGGGAGGTCTTGTTGGTCTCAGTCCATCTCCTGATATGCTCTCACCTGTCTCCGACCTTTGAGACATTTCGACATCTTTTTCCTGAATCTGACATTGTAGCATGGCATAGACAATTCATGTTTACAGTTTGAAGAACACCTGCTTGCTTCTCATGATTTCCTTTAGCTAACCAATGAGGGTTTGCGTTATATGACCCATCCAGTTACACTAGTTTTCACTAGATGTGGATGGTGGCAATGATCTGCATTGGATGGCGCACATGACGTGAAATAAATATTTATAAACACAAAACCGAAGCCAAGAGTAACATGTAACGTTTGTTTTAAAAATGTAAGGAATAGAAAGTACAGATACTTGTGTGAAAACGTAACAAGTAGAAGTCAGAAGTAGGAAGAAAAATAAGTAATGGAGTAAAGTATAGATACCTAAAAAGTGTACTAAAGTACAGCAATGAAGTATTTGTTCTTTGTTACTTGAAACCTCTGGCTGTGAACTGATTTTGTATTGGTTTTCTTTGTTAACAGACTTGCTGTCAAGAATAGACTTAGATGAACTAATGAAGAAAGATGAACCTCCCTTCACCTTCCCTAAAACACTGGAGGAGTTTAAATATGCCTTCAATGAAAGTAAGTACCTTTCTCCAAGTCCTTAAAGCAGTAGCACATAATTGCATAGGATGCTGGCTGCTAAGTAAACCCCCAAGTCCCATGGAGTGGTTGGAATGGAATAGAATAGAATAGAATAGAATAGGAAAGAAAAGAAAATCCCTTTTTTCTCCCACAATGGAGAAATTGTGGTGCTACTGCAGCAAAACATTATAGCAAAACTGGTCACACAAATGTGGATCTTAAAAAGTATATAAAAATAACAGAATAGATAATGAAAGACTGTACTTTACAGTGTTTTATACAATATAAATACTGTGCATCTGAAGAATAAATAGTCAATACTCAGCTGTGGACATTTTTACAGTAATGGATATGTGAAAAATAGCAGCCACACCATAGACGTACAAAATGACAACAGTATGTTATTTATCTGACTTAGAAACTGTGCAAAAGTCAGTTAAATGCATGAATGTAATAACTTATTTAGGTTGTTGGGAGCAGTGTTGGTTATACAGTCTTCCAGCTGCTGGGAGGAAGGATCTGTGTTAACGCTCCCTGGTGCATTTAGGTTGCAGCAGTCTGTCACTGAAGGAGCTTTCCAGTTCAGCAGCAGCTTCATGCAGTATGTGGGAGACATGATCTGACAAAGATGTTATTTTTGTTAGAGTCCTTTTGTTTCCTACCTCCTGGACTGAGTCCAGAGGGCATCCAATCACATGGTTGGCTTACCACCTAACCATTGCAGATAATGGCACTGGATCGTGGCATAAACAGGAAAATAGTGGGAAAGTTGGGACCAGAACAAATGCCCTGTAGGGTCTGGCTGTATCAGGCTAAACGGATCCATCCCAAGGAGAGTACAGCGAAAGGGGTTTAATTAGTAGGTGATTGGGTCTATTTACTGGCAAAACTGAACGCATGGAAAAATAAGATCCGGTGGAAAGCAAAGTGGGTTAATCAACTTCAATCCTTTTTGAAAGTTAGAAAAGTAATATTTTGCTCAGAGTGACACTTGATGACACTGTGACACTTGATGACACTGTTGATAGATTTTATATATAGGGAGCGCTGCTTGGCAAAGCCAGATAACATGAATCCCACTTGAAAACAAATAATAAAAAGAACACTGTTCAACTTTGGAAACATAATCCTTAGGTCAGAAAAAATCCACCTGCTCTGAAACTTTTATATCTAAATGTGTCTTAATAAGAATTAATAAGTGCATGGTCCACAAAGTACATAAAATAAGTAATAAATAAATAAGTACAATAAGTGTAAAGCTGGATTTATTGGTGCAGTTTCTGCTTAGTATTGATTGAACCTAGCCCTGCGTTATTTCTTTGCTGAAGTTTGTGCAAAAGACGTGTCTTCGCAGCATCCCCCACAAAAAGACGCCACAACCAG